TAACAGTGTCTGCATAGTTAAAAATTAAAACAACTTCTAACTTTCTTGTTTCGAATGGTGGTGGTGTAAAGTAATGCCAACGTAGGTTTTCTGGCCTCATTGGGATCGGTTAAGTGAAGTGGTTGAGTAGAAGACTGGTCTTGGAGATATAAAACAGTGATCACGCTGCAATCGGTTGATCTCTTTGAGTTAATCCAAGAACGCTTTCAAGGCCTTCGTTTCTCTATTTCTTTTCTAATTCCATCCTTTCCATTCTTTTTTTCTTCCTTCTTCTCTTTGTTCGGTGAACACTTTCGTTTGTGTCATGTCATCATCTACATTAACGTCTTCATTCTCCTCATTATCACATTTGTCATCATCATTTCCATACTGATCTCAAATTTTCTATTTTTATGTTTTTCATTCTTCCACTTTGTTTCAGCCACTAGAAATCTGGTAATTTTTCCTCGACTTTACGAGCAGCTGTCGTTCTCGTTCACGTGTTTTGCTCATAAGTAACGAAACCTGCAAGCACTAAGGATTTTTTCCAGATTCTCCTATAACCGAAAAAGTCATTTAACAAATATTTATTTGAAAATTCGAAAGATGGTTTGGCAACTCGTTCTTGCGGTTCCATGCATGTGTCTGGCATTTTTCACTGCAGGTGAGGGCTGTACTTTTTGCTTCAATTTGTGAGGAATATAACCACGGAAATCACAGAGCGGCTTAATGTATTCTAGATAGTGATTGTAGTAATTATAGCAATTATAGTAAATATGAACTCTTACCAAAAATTGAATAAGGACTCGATCACGGTCCATTGGAATCATCACGGGGAACGTTAGAGAAAGGCTTAGCTTCTCTCGCAAGAGCGCTTCTATTTCCATTGTTTTTGGAGAATATGTAGCCACTGCAGAGTTTTTGAGTTTTACCGTGGATCGGAACGGAGTTGGTAAGCCAAGAGAAGTGAGAGAGAAACAAATAATAGAAAATGAAGTGTGCAAGAAAAAATTTAAAAAAAACATAGGAAATTCGACAAGGGCTTGATAAAATATGAAAGGGAATTTTGTAGGAGGTCAAGCAGTACAAGGCCAATCGACAAACGATGACGTGGGTCTACTTAAAATATCGCACCTGTTCTGATTTCTGAAACTCTCATAGTTTCTTTTAGCACTGGTCTATCAGCGATGGAAAAATGAATTGCTTATATAAGTGATGTTCCAGTAATTCACTAAAGATTTTGTTTTTCAGCCCTCCATAATAATCGTTCGGCCGCTATTCGATGAAACTAAAGGTTCGCTGAATCGAAATATTAAATGGATTCTTAAACAGCTAATTTTCGTTAGAACTTAGAGAATGGCATCTCCTAATAAACAGCGCTTTTTCTTTAATGTTTACCAAATTTGTGAATTAGTTATTGTCTGACTTTTAGCGATGCATTAGCTTATTTCCGAGTGGACCAATAGATAGGATGCGAGAGTGAACATACCCAGAATTTAAATAAGACAAGGTTTTCAACAGTGCGGAAAATCTTTCCATCACTGGATCACGGCTTTTTCGCTGCTTCATCGAGTATTGTTCTTTTATAAACCGTTACAAGCACTTATAAAAAAATCAATCTATGCCAGCAAACTCGTTTTCCTTCAAGGGACCATTATTTCGTGAATGTATTCATTATAGAACTTTTTCAGTGACAGCCACACATGGATCAAAGCATCGGCCAAGCCCTGAGCTAATTATTAATTTTCCCCCAGACAGTAAGTTGTTTGCAAAACAGAGCCATTCTCGTCCCAGTTTCTCACGATGCATAAAACAAGGCTGTTCCTTAAGTTATGGATTTTTCCTAATCAATTTTTAACTCGTTTCCATATTAGTTTTCTATATTATGTAAGATGGAGCGCGTGTAGCACAAATGAGAGTCCTATGCAATCCACACATGGTCTTTCGTTCAATTCCACTCACTGTGCTCACCAAGCCTTCCATCCCTCCGGGCTCGGCGAAATGGTAGCTGACTTGTCTTGGGAGGACAGCAGCACTGACTCTTCATATTGATAAGCTACCGCTTGTCATTGTTATGTCATACTTGCTTTCAAAATCACGCCTAACGATGCTCAATGGATTCAAAAGCATTCCTAATGGATTGATCTACGCCGAATGGTTTATCTTTTAGTGTTTATGATGTACGGTTGAAACGATAAAGCGTTCTACACTGACCAACCCTAATGGATCCACCATGCATTTGATTCGATTTGCTGCATCGTAGAAGTGGTTGAATTCATAATTGTCGTGCACAATAACTTGTCGTGACCTGCGGATATATCAGTCCAGTGTTTTTACCCTGGTAGGCAAGACCTGTAACAATTCAGAAAGATGGGAGCACATTCCACGCAAGATGTGGGATCGAACCATCGAAGATATGTGTATTACAGGACACCTCCAACTTCTGCCTTATACGCGGCTCGAAATTATGTAACTATGATCTAGTTAATAGGTGCAGCATAAGACAGATTTTACAATGGTGAAAACGTTGATTCTCTTAGCGTTCTTTCTTTTTCATTGAAAAAAGCTACTTTACTTTCTAACAAAAATTGAATGAATTTGCATCCGCTTGAAATTCATTTATCCCCTAAACTGGCCTGGTATTTTCAAATAAAAAGTCATTACTGGTACAGGAAACCAGCTTCTTTCCAGTTGGCGAGGATCACCAGAAGAAAAGAAGGAAACTGGAAGGCATAAAGAAGGACCACAAGTTTCGCAACACTGCACTTGGTGCGATCATCGAAAAAGTGAAAAATGACGGAAAAATTCAGAAAGCAGGTGATGTGTGTCCATGACATAAAAAAGTTCAGGTCACAGCGAAGGTGATCTAATAGTCCGTTAGCCTAAATAGCTTTCGATAATTAGCGGTCGTTGACTGAAGTCTGCAAGAACTCAAGTTTTCCATGCTGATTGAATGGCTGGCTTCATATCGTCATCTAACAACTTCAGAACACTGAGTTTTACTAAGTTCTCAACAATAACTTAACATATTGCACATTCTGAGCTTTTTTGCTAAATAAAGATAGAAAAAAAAAACTTTCCATAAATTAACAGATAACGATTTCAACGATTTAGAAAGCGAAAGCCAACGACTTCAACTCACTGATTTCAATGAAGAACAGGAGAGGAATATTACAACTAATGAGACGGCAGCTCTTGAGGTGATAAATTTATCACTTTAGACTCAATAACTATAGCATAATGCTTTCGAAGTTGAGTAATCCCATAGCAACTTGCCATGCAGCATTGGCTCCACTCTAAGAATCGCAGGTTGAACGGAAATATGACGACTTTATTCTTCCAAAGAGCCTGGTAGCTTTTTGTCAATCCTATAGGGATGAACGACTTTGTTGGCCCCTAGCGGCCAGACGTGACCTAAAGTACTATTGTATATTGTAAGGTATAACTAACTACTAATTGAGGCGTTTTCCCGGCCCACGAAATCCACGAAGAAACATCAAAGGCTGAAAGTTAACAGGTTTCTAGGCTCTTAAGAACCCATTCTGTCTCTGAATAACTTGAAGCGTTTTTCCTATTTCCGATTTTCCATTTATACGTTCCTATCCCTTAAGGCCGTTTAAGCACCAGTTAGCTTCCAAAGGTAGTCTTTGCAAAAAGAAACCATCTAACAGCTTCGAACACTTCTAATTGTGCTAACTTTTTCCGTCCCTTTTCTTTCATTGTATCACTTTCTACCCTATTTTATATCATTCTTTTATGCTTGAATTTCTTAATCTTTTCTTTTACCGCATTATTTCTTTTCCAACCATTGTGAAGGTTTTCCGCCGATTTCATTTCCTTTTTTGGAAAACGGCGAAATCCGAAGTCTACTTGACGGATTTCGAATTTTATCACCAAGTGACACTGATCGCTTCCAAACACAGAGTTGTTGCCCTTTGAGCAAAAGCGATGATAGAAGAAAAAACATGCTCGAACAAGCAAAGCTTATGGTGTAACGATATAACATTCTCTTTTTTTGTTTGACTCGGTACCAGATATTCTGTGGATCCCAGTATTTCGTTTATCCACTCTTTACGCTACCCTTCTATGAAGAAAAATACTAGGATTTTCAAGTGCGTTCTGCCACTGCTTAAGGACTTCCCTTTCTTCATGGATTTCACTAAACGCCGGTCGGCTTGGTTCTCCTTCGAATCGTAGAATAGTTCTATAACAGCGTTGTGAAGTTCGCATAACGGGCAGTCGCTCGTAGTTATGCATCGGAGAGAGCTTTTACAGATGGGTTTGGAAATATTTCACCATCCACTGGGAAAGCAGTAGAGCTATGTTGGTTTGGGTCGCGCTCGAACTGGCGACCATGTATGTGCTGCATGGAGTCTGTGACGACTCTTACTGCACCCCTGATTTTCTCTGCATTCGTAAAATTTCTCTCAGCCACACTGCGTGGAAACTGGAAAAGTTTTCGTTGGTTTTTCTGCCCCAGTTTCCGTGGCTGAATAACCTCATTACTTTCCGTTTCAGAAAGAAGGACCGGTAACGGCGGCGACAAATCTTGCTAGCGACGTTGTTGCTGACTTCAACAAGCAAATAACAGAAGTCGGATTTTGTATCTAATTAAAATAGTTTTTTTTAATGGAGTTTTTCCCTATTACGGATTATTTTTTCCATAATTTCCTAAGACTTTTGTTTGAACTATTTGTTTCGCCCATTTATAAAAAACAAACTTTAAAAATTTATCCGCGTAGGTGGTATGTGTTTTAAAAATGATACTTGTTTTTACTAGTGAACTAGACCGACAGACCCCTGCACTAAAAAAATGATACAACAGTGCCATTATCATTTCACTGTGAACAACAACGGTCTTATTTGCCTGTTGGTAAGCTTAAAAGTAAATAATTTTAGCGAATTATGTGTTCTAAATAAAAGGTTTTTGCATGAACGGAAAGAAAAACTAAAGGGACCAAAAAAAGGCAAATAATAACCTTTGTGACTATAGAGGCTTTAGATGGCTGATAAGCCTATCGATGAAATTTCAGAGAGCTGCAAGGCGTCAACAGATCAAACAAGAAGGTTATAAAAAGTACGAACAGATTGTATTCAAGGTTTGTGTTACGTGATTTCTGCCTGCTTAGAAATCCAGTTGTAATCGTTCCTTGTTCATCAACTAATTGTTCACGTTAACGGCTCAATAGCTCGTCATTACTCCAGTGAACAAAAAACTGGTTTTATCGAGACTGTCGACAGCTCTACCAGTTGTTCTATGAATCTCTTCTTAAATTATTTTCATATAACAAGCTTTTAATATTTTCCGACAGGTATTAAAAACATTCGGCACAGATTCCTTCCTTAACCATAGGCTGTGCATTCGACTTCATTGAGGCGTTGAATTCATATTGGTCGGTATAATGACATGCACCAGTGGTCTGTCGATCTATCAAACTTATCTCTCTTAACTTATCAGTTGAATCTGGTACCAATTTGCTTACACTGAAGGAGAGAAGAAGATGGTTGCTCAGAAGAAGGAACTGAGCCAATCACCACGCACTCATTGTGGTGCACTTCTAACGACTGCGCTACATACGCCTCGCCGTGACTATTATTGAGTAAAACTGGTTCATCTACTACAGATTCATTCATTATCTTTGAAAAGTACCCTCGTAGATAGCATAGTGTCGAGATTTTCAAATTTTCGTCAGATATTATTATCTAGAGTCGTTCTATGAGGTGATAAGGTAGAGCTACTTGCCATTTGTCCCATGAATGTGATTTTTGGACCAAAACAGACCAATGAACTTTCGTCAATACTTCATCATTCCTATGATTCACTAAAAGACTAGTTGGCTTCTTTATTTCCTTTGGATTCTAGACCTTTCCCTTCATGAGCGTGATGAGCAATTTTAAAGACGAAATTCATAAACAGCACTTTTTCTAACAATTCTAATGCGAGTTTCAGAAGCAAACACCGGTGGTAAGCTTAAAATTCTATGCTCAGCACGTGGAACCTTTCAATCTTTTTTTCAGAAAGGCCGTAATATTGTTCCTGTACGACTATTCTTTGAGACCGATCCTGTGTTGCTGACTGCAGGAACGAATCATAACGAGTCGGCCATAACATCAGCTGGCTCATCGAACATTAGTGAACATTTGGGAGCAGACGAGAAGGAAGCTCCTGAAATGGATTCCTTTTTAGCTAAGAACAAAAGAGAAGGTAACAGTGAAAAATCGATTATTCGAACCTCTTCTATGAAACTTGAACACGTGAGTAGTACCTCATTGGTTGATGAAGATCAGATGTTACTAAGTGGTAACGCTGAAGTTCAACCAGAAGACTTAAATGGAAGCGGCATGCAACCACTGACGACCGAAAGCATGGAAGAAACTCATACTAAACTACTATCAGAAGAGAAAAAAGACTTGTTTGAGCACCAGATTAGAGAAATCAAACCAATTGAAATGCATCTGATGACAACGACTTCAACACCGTCTTCACTGATTTCTACGAAATCGACAGCAACACCTCAGATGGAGAAAAGTCTAGACATGTCGACTTCACTACCAGAAATGAAAAATGACAGTGACAATTCTCTTCCGATTCAAAAAACCACTACAGATTCCGAAGAGATAACGAACAAGATTGCGACACCAAAACGTGGGTTTTTCAAACCGTTTGTTTAAGACTATAAAGCGCTTTCCAAACTCGTGTTTTCACTTGTGTTTGAAAAGGAGAAGTGAGAAACAGCACAAGTCACTGTCGAACTTTCAGTGAATAATAAAATATCTTCTGAGCTTCCACACCGAAGAACGATCTCTCTTTTCGTTGCCCAAGCGTTCCATATCCAAGATTCTGACTAAGCAAGATATCAATCTCTCCGCTTAATTCATAGTTGTTCTATCTAAGGGTCTAACTGGTCTAAGAAACCAGAACCGATTATTTGCGAAAAGCAATTTTTCATTTCCAGATTGGCCAAACACGAACAGAGAGCTTATGGACAACACCATTGTAAACAGCACGGTCATTGTTAACAGTACTTTTTCATCAGTGAATACGGAATCTCTACAGGAGAAGTCCACTGTCAAGTTACCTGATTCAGCACCTATTAACATTACTGGCGTCTTTCCAGCACTCCTTGCCAAGCCACCTTTATCCGATTTATCGCCATTCTCAACGCTAAATACCTTTGTCAAAACCGCTGTCGATACTCAACAGAGCAGAACACCTGACGAGACGCTGTTTGACAAGAAACATAGCAAAACTTTAAGAGTTGTTGGAGTTTCTTTGCCTAGAAACCGAAGTCGCAAAAGAATGCGTCTTGGGAGCACATCGTCGCTCGGAATAGTCGATTCCTTTAGCAGCAATCTTCTTACAGGAAGAATGGCGAATCAATTTAACAAATTCAGAACAAGGTAACAAATTTTTTGTTCAATTGCAAAATAACCCGGTTTATATAAGCCTCAAAAATTCGCAGGTGTGAAATAAAAACAAGTGTTTTTCCTTATGATTTTTTATTTTCTGTATGGCCATGTTCAGTAGGCGCCGATACAGAAAAAAGTTATGGGATACTATTGATTCTACCTGCTTTTCTGGTTTATTATTCCTGTGAGCAAACACAAACCTGCCTTATCGTCGTCCTGTCGTCGGTCGCTTGGGAACCATATTCATAGTAGTTCAAGCTTTAAATACAAATATTGTGGAACATCTCAATTAAATCAGTCAATGAGATCTCTTGTATTTTTTACACCTTTACTTGTTCAACACACTCGCAAAAAGCAAGCGTTCGGTGTCTACCCATCTCTTGCATTCGTGTGTTTGTTCTACTCTGATAAACATTGTAAAGCTGATTGAATGCATATTCGCATCAACAGTGGTCTTTGGAAACTTTCCGATGTATCAGGTCAGGGTTTATGTCTTCCCAAACAACTCTCAAACTGATTTGCCTACTCTGAAAGGCCAGAGAACTTATTGTTTTGCAGCATATACGGGATTGAACCAACGAGATATGTGTCTTGCAAACCACAAACTACCGCACTACACTGGATGTGCGAGCACACGTAATCCTCGAATGCTTCTTGTCAAGCGCAGTATGAGTGGTACATGCATAATACTGTCGTAGTTGCTCACAAAGCAAAGAAACAATAAAAGGTACCAAAGGATACCAAAAGTGCAAAGAACAAGGTTCCATTCTCGTAAACAACGGTCTCTGTGTCTCTGTGTGCTGCAATTGTACATCAGGCGAGGAATCACTACGCAACTCATTGACACGAACAAACTCGTTCGAATATTTGTAGCTTCAGTGTGTATAAAATAGATTGCGTCTGATTAAACAGGATAGAATTTTTGTCGCAGAATTTCTGCTTCTGTGGTATTACAATTGTTTTGCATCATTCAACTTCACGCATGTGCAGACCTCTTCATTTATTTTATTCGATTCAGCGCTTGTCATTTACCTCCCGCAAGGGTCTTCGGTTTTTGCCTGTGATGGCTGTTACTGGAAGGTTTTAGCCTTCTTCATGAATGTTGTTGAATACCGTTGATCTGAGTCACCTTGGAATCCTGGGATAGTCCTAATAGAGCGCTCCAGGTGATTATCTAACGCAGTCACCAGCCCTTGTAGATTGGAAGGAACCTCTCCAGGCAAGTTTGGTACCAATTTCCTGACCCTGAAGGTAAGAGTGGCTTCGTTGGCTTAGTTTTGGGTCGAGCAAAAGACCTTGTATGTAGTATTGGATTAAAACTCTACCTCAGTTCTTCTTGTACCGTTGCCAATTACACAATTATGTAAATATATTTGACATTTCCTCCTTTTCTTATTAGTGACATCGTAAACCTTTAAAAGTAATTTACTTTAGTTTATCACTCTGAAAACGCTTTAAAAGATGAGATTTCATCTTGTTTTTAAATTTTTTAGTTAAAGAAGAAAAGACTTAATTTAGGGTACTCAAGCCTTCTACTGATTCAATTTACTTCAGCAAGAAAAAGGTTCTTTCAAAGAGTGATTCTTTGAAGTCGAATCGATTCATTCATTCGAAGAAGAGCGGCAGAAATATTCGCCCTACTAATTTTAATCGAGGCATTCCGGTAATAGTCCATAAGCTTCCATCCGAACAGCAAAATTTTAAGCAGATCTTCAAGGTTCGTTATAGAACTTTTCTATTAAGATAATAAAATTAATGAATTGATTCAGTTCATTTCAAGTTGCCTAATCTTGTTCGCAATTTAATGGAACTTTCGTCGCTTTCCAGTAGATAAGAATTGGATGGCCCTTGAAGCAAGACCTGGATTTTGGAGGTCCACCAGGAATTTCCTTCGTTGGGTTACCGTGATAGGTGTACAAAGGCTTTTCCGAGTACTCGTCACCATGGGTATTTGCCAACGCTTATAGATGGTGCAGAATTTTCTCACCTCAGAACTACGTTGCTAGTTTGCCACCACGATTCTGCAGTGGTTCCTGTCGTTGTTTCTCCTTATCTGTGCTTCCCAATAGATGCCACGAAGTATACACCCTCTGGGAAACCCTGGCGTAGAAATGGGCGTGCACTGCAGTGAATCCGCATCCACGGTCACGATCTGTGGGCAGAACAAAGAAGTGGTGGACTGTAGAACTAAGTGAAAATGTCACGAGTTTTGTTTGCTCTGTTAATCTCCTTATTTCAGCCTATTTTAAAAGGCCAAAAATCTATACAAGCATTTCAGTTGTAATTTATTACTGGCAAATATTTATTTTAGTTTAAAACTTCTAAACTTCATTTAAGTTTCTCTAATAAAAAGAATTTTGGAAGGTTTTGGTATGGCGGACAAATTAAAAGTGACTGAAAATAAAACTCCTATTAGGATGATATACAAAAAGAAACTTTAAAACGAAGACTGCCTGTCTTCCACGTGTTCCTGTTTCGATTGGGTTTGGACGGCCCTCTACGTCGTTCATGACGGGCGTTGAAACGTTAAGTAATTATAAATGCAAAACCATTGAAGAGATTATGTAATTCTTGTGATAGATAGACTATTTTAGATTGAACCCCTACGGAAGTTTTCCGTGCAGCCTCGGCCAAATTCACGTTTCGTCTCGAATGGGCCGATTGTTGAACGGAAACGCAACGGCACAACGACGAATTTCAAGTTTGTCCGTATTCCACCACGACAGATTCCTTTCACTTCGTCTAATCAGTTTTCTGGAACAGTACGTCGCAATCCAACAAGACAGCACAATAGTCTTGAACAGCAACAAGGAGAAGCTGCTGACGAGATTCAGAAGTCATCCATGAAATCGCCAAGTACCACACTAACACATGGTGCTCAAAAAGACGAAGTACAACTTGGACGAATAATGGCACCACCACTGGTCCGGCTATACCAGCCGAATGCCGTCAAACAGCAAAATAGGCAAGTCTTTGGTCAACGGACGCAACTTTTTTTTCTTTCAAATTATTTGTACTTCACTCTCAACGCCTACACTGAGCACTAACTTATTGAGAAGTGAAAGTAAATGCCGGGAATTACTACAGCGCTTTATTGCTTTTGTGTCTTCGAAATTTATTTCAACAAAGGATCGTTTTAACCTAAAATGTAACTACCAGTTTGCTCACTCCAGCCAACCGTTGAGATAAAGACCAGATGCTTTTTCCTTGTACTAGCTGGGGAAGTGCATTGCATTAATTCTGATTTGATTTTCCCAGAATTAGAACTGAGGGAAGCTGAAAATTAGAGTGCACGGGTCCGAGTTAGGCGCAGATTGTGAAGTCTTTTTCACCCAAGTGCCTTGAGATACCTGCGAACTCTAGAAACCATGTGATGTCAATCATTGCCGTTGAGAAGAAGAAATTGAGCTCACCTCTGACGGTTTTCTCATTGTGGCAAGCAGTTGGCGATATACCGTATCTAACGAGTTCCATGCATTCTCCGAAGAACACTGCTTCCTAATGGCTCCATCATAGTAAAGTTTTCGTGCGGTAAAATACCTTGCTGTTTATTGCCTGTCAACGGGTCTATTAAGAAGCTTGTTAGAATGGAAGCATCAACGACTGCAACTGAAAGCCAATATCTGGGGGTTCGGGTTTGGTAGCTGATCGCGAGCTTATCATAACATCATTTCGTTTATTCCACGTGCTAGTAAGTGCTTCTAGATGCAAGAGTGACTAGCTCCAATGTATCTCACCAATCAGCTCTTATTGTACTCTTAGATGGAAACTTAACTCGATATCTTAGAACGGGATGTGTGGATCCCTCCCTTGTGTTGTTGTCGAAGATATGTATAATATGATTATTATCATCACTATTCGATTCTTCTATATTTTGCTTTTTTATTGTTTACTTTTATAACTTTGGACTGTTCCCTATCCCTGGAAAGAAACCTTCTGGAATATTCTACCACACAGCCGAAAACAACTCGTATGAAGATATCCCTTAATAGGAGAAAGAAATTCCTTTTCCTCGAAGTGTTCTGTAAAATTTATCCCAATCCGTTATCCCACGAAATTTCTCATCGTTAAGTGGTTTTCGAATTTTTCACTAATCCACGAAATTTCCAACCTAGGCACTAAGTTCTGATTGTTGGAGAAATCTAATCTTATTGCCTAACAGTTCCCAGGATCGACTTTCTATTAAAAACCTCGGGATTGGAATATGAATGTGTCGTTTTCTTGTTCAGCAATCGCGAGGTTTTTAAACAGCATACATTTACTCCCATAAAAAAACTCAATACAATACAACACCAGCTGACGTTTCGGCAGTATCGCCTTCTTTAGAGCCTGGAAGGGTATGCTGATATACAATCTACTAGGCCAAACGCTTCAATAACACAAAAAGACGAAAGGCTCTTTGGTAATTACATGATCAACAGCTTCGGCGTCAAATAAGGGGCGTATGATACGGGGTCAGGTCGCGTATGACTTTTGGGCATTTCTACCTGCTATTCTTTGTAGGGTTTTTGGCATCTATCCAAAAAGCCATAAAAAGTTCTCGCGCTGGTGTTTTAGTTTCCGGTAGACCTTTGTGTATCCGTATAAAAGAACACCTAGATGGCAAACGAAAACTAAGACAAAGTGCCCCAATAGGCACGCATAGGATACAAAAGAATATCGGAGACGACTTTGAAGTAAAAGTCAATATCCTTGCACAGGAGTCCAAAACACCAGCCCCGAAAACTCCTTGAGGCTTTTTGGATAAATGCCAAAATCCCTACAAAGAATAGCAGGGATGAATGCCCAGAGGTCATATGCGACCTGACCCTGTATGTTTGCATCAATTTCTGATGTGGGATGGTGCAGTGATCAACCATGTGCGACTATAATCGGCTGTTCTAAACTTCCTCATTGGAAGTCACGTAAAAAGCTGTGAGTTTTTCGAGAAGTTGTTGATCATGCAATTACCAAAGAGTGTTTCGTCTTTTTGTAAGTGTCATTGAAGCGTTTGGCCTAGTAGATTGCATATCAGTATACCCTTCCAGGCTCTGAAGAAGGCGATACTGCCGAAACGTCAGCTGGTGTTGTATTGTATTGTGTTTTTCTACGGAAGTAAATGTATACTGTTTAAGAATCTCACGATTGCTGAACAATAAAACAGCGCATTTATTGCCTAATTTTTGTCGAAGCAGGTCTCCATTCATGTTTTCCTTCTTTTAAGACTGATGTCTCGGTTAGCAGAATGATCATTTCTTGAATTTTCTTTATTAATCTGTTTGACTTAAAGCTCTAAAACTTTGTACGCTGATCAATCCCTGAGAGATGCGCCATGGATTCAACTTCATTAAGTATCCTTGGAAGTGATTGTATGCATATCTGGCCTTCACAATGACTCGCGGTAGCCTACCGATATATGGAGCCAGTGCTGCTATCCTCCCAGACAAGTCCGGTACCAATTCGCAGGCCCCGGAGGGATGGAAGTCTTGTTGGGTTATGGGCGCATGGATTGATTCCATGTGTGTGTCGCAGTGGAGCCTCCACCCATTGCGCCACACGCACCCTTTCACTTATGTGCTCATGTGCTCATAATTTTTATGGAATAACTAGGTTTCGAATTTAAGGATGAATGTGGTAATTTCTGATGTGCTACTATGTCGATGTAAGGTTGACTTCATTAATATCGAAGTTCAGACCGATTATTAAAGAAGATCTGTTTCAGTTTCTTTCCCATGCTAAAGCAAGAGGACTGGGACCGCGTTCGTTCAGAATTCATTAAGATTAAGCACCTGTCTAAGGCAATTCGTAGAAAACAACAAAAAGCACGCTTACGAAGCGCAGTGGCCGGTGTCAAGACAGTGATGTCAGACGGTGGCGATAGGACTCCAAATGAGGTATACGGTATTTACCCATTTCCAATTCCTCCCTTTAATAACAAGCAGAATTCTTTTTTGGCTTGAAGAATTTCTTCATTACATGGGTCCAATATGAAGATCGATATCAAAGGAATAATCTGAGTCATCTATTTCGATTACTTTTACACGAAGAGATTCATTTAATGCTAAGATGTCGTATTAAAGCCTATAAATATTGCCCTTAATCCGCACTCGTAAATTTTTTGAATATCTTTAGTTATGCCGTTGTCCCCGAATCTCCCTCATATGAGGTATCTCAAGCAAGTTAGCCGCGAGGCTACGTGGCGCGTCTCCCGGTGGCGGATAGGGGTTTAATCGCGGACCAAAGCGACCTTTGCTTCCCTGAGATGCATGAGATGTTGATGAACTCCCTGTTTCTGCTGCGCTGATTTGATACATACCTTCTGTATTTGCTAGGCGTATTCATGCATGCGTGTGTGGGTGCGTTCTCGCCTATGCGGATTGTATTCTACGAGCCAATTCGGCTAGAAGCCAGCAATAAAGTGTTTGAGAAGTATATGGGAGGCGGTTAGGAGTCGCCTCCAACAAATAAGCTTCATATCTACGCTGGGAAAGCATGGCTAGCTACCCGTGAGTATACCCAGCCCCAACGTTCAGAGCCCAACAAGCTATACGTGGGTATTAAAAATATTAAACAGTAAAAATATGGGCCCCTTTGCCCTGACCCCGAAAGAGCTCCCAATTTCTCAGTGTGGAAGAGTACGGAGAGGCTAAAATCTCAGGGCCAATGGAAGCTGCTTGGATTTCAAAAAACTATGGTGACGATCTGTACCTACAATGCACGTACACTTGCATCCGAGTTCTCGATAGAAGACTTGCTCATGCAAGCAAGAAGGATAAAGTACAACGTCATCGGCCTGACCGAGACGAGAGGGCGACAGCCTTTCAACGCCGTCTATGACACCGGAGAAGAACTGTTTCTCGGAACATGCGACAGCAGAGGATTCGGCGGCGTCGGCGTTCTGGTCAACACGAGTTTGTCCATGAACATCGATTCATTCGAACAACTCACAACCCGAATCGGACGCTTACAATTAAAAAGACATGGATCAATTCCGGCGTTCACAATCTTCGTCGTTTACGTACCAGCATCAAATTATGAAAACGAAGAAGTCGAAGCGTTCTATATGGACTTAGAGAAATTCTTCAGAGAAGACCACACATTCTTCAAGGTCATCATTGGAGATTTCAGCGCCAAGATCGGACCAAGAAGAAGGTCTGAAGAACGTCACATTGGAACCCACGGATTAGAATGGAACGAACGGGGTGATCGGCTGTCTGAGTTTATCATGGCGACCAGGGCAATCCATGGTCACTCGCAATTCCAGAAGCCCCACCCTTAGCGCTGGCCGTGGGAGTCTCCCAATGGAGAGCACCATAACTAAGCAAACCACAAAATAGTTAATAGGTTTTCCCTAACCGAAGTCGCTGTTGTCCCAAATTCTACACGGGATCAGACCACCGTCACCTTTGTGCAAGATTCTATTTTTCGCGAAAAGGAGAAAAAGCAGCTGAATTCCAAAACCGAATTACCAGAACCACCGTAAATTTGGATCTATTAAATTCATTATTAGGCCACTGGAAAGATGCCGTTGTCGATAATACCGACGAAGAATACGATCGGCTCATTCAACATTTTTACGTTAGCGCTATAAAAGCTGAGAGTTCGAAAGTCACCAAGAGATGTCTGTCTCCAGAAACACTCGAGCTGATACGCCAGCACGGAATCGCACGAGCTGCAGGCAACCGCGAACTAACGTCCGAACTTGCAAAACAATGCAGACAGGCGATAAAAGAAGATCTTAAAGTGAGAAGAGCAGCAGCAATGGTAGAAGCTGCAAAGGCTGGGAAAAGCATTCGCAAAATCCACCGAAGCTTCGCCAATTACAAGAACGAAATGATTGCACTCTGGCGCCCGGACTGAACAGTTACAGCGTCAAGAAAGGCAATTGAGACAGTCATTCAGGAATACTACTCGGATCTCTTCGATATCTATGTCCACCTTCCGTCATATGAAATAATGGAGGATGGATATGTTTTACCACTGGTTCTCCCTTCCGAAATGTGGCATGCCATTTTGTCGGTGAAAAATCGAGGAACACCAGATCCAGACAGGATATAGGACCAGAACA